CGATCCCGTTGCCGGTCCCGGTCCGGTATGGGCGTGACACTGAGGGTTGCGATCTGTTGCCAGTCACGTAAAAAAGACAAAAAAAAAGGGAAAAAAAAACAACCATGCTATTCAGGAAGCTAAAAAGGGGCAAATAAGCCAAAAGATGTAGGAAGAATAAAAAGGAGATAATGCAAGTAATGATGCTGGGAATAAACACAATTCACAGGAGTTTTTTTTTTTTTATTTTGAGAAGGCTGTGCATTGTACTGATTTCATCAAAGGAGGAATTAAAAATGCTGTCAAAAATCTATTTTCCCTAAAAGTCCCAGTATTTGGAGGTGTGATGGAAGAGTCCTAGTAACCTTTCAAAGAACAAATACTTCTGTGTTATTCAACCTCCAGGGGGTGGAAAATTTGGGAAATGTTTCCCGGGGCTTGTTCTGCAGTGCTTAGGGCGATGCTTGCTGCAAAAGCCAAGAACGTACAAAACCAGGAAACTATAAAGCAGTCCCACTTATACACTGAGAAAATTCTAAAGAAAATATTACAAATTAAGCTCAGCAGCATATTAAAAGAAAAAATACCTCATAGTGAAGAAGAGTTTACTTCTGGAATTGAGGAATAATTTGCAATTAGGAGATCTACTGATTTAATGCATCATATTTATAAAGGAGAAAAAAAGCCTTTCTGGGTTGATGCCAAATGGGTGTTTGATAAAACTCATCATCCACCCCAAACTAGGATAGAGGGAAAGCTCTTTATAAGGGTCTCTCAGAAACAAGAAAATTCCACTCAGTGCAATCAGGAAGCGTGGAGCGTGCCCGCTGCACCACCGTGACCCAGCATTGTTTTGGAGGTTCCCACAATGCAAGAAAACAGGAGAAAGTAATGAGATATAGATTTTGGAAATGAAATGCTGAAATCCTCATCCAGACCAATGATAGGATTGTTTACCTAGAACATTCACAATAACTGATGGGGGGGAAGAAAGCTAATAGAAACAGTAAGAAATCAATAAAGTAGCTGGATACCAGATCTACAGTTTTCTTCTATGCCAGTAGTATCCAGTTAGGAATTACAATTCTTTTTTAAAAAGCCCATCCTTTAATAGCTGTAACAGCTGTGAAATACCTAGCAATAAGTCCAACAAGAAATGAGTGTGCCTATTTAAGGAGAAACAATAAAATTTCACCAGGGACATAAAACATTTAAATACATGGGCCAACCATGTTACTAGATGGGAAGATGCGTAATATGAAAATGTCATTTCTCTCCAAATTAATAATCAATTTAACGCAATTCCAATTCAAGTCCATGATGGGGTGTTTCGGGTGAACTTAAATTTATCTAACGTGATTCTTTATTTACCTATGTTGATAAGTAATAATTCAAAATTCAAGAGCTCTACAGTGAAAAATCTCCTTCCTCTCTCTAAACCACCCATTCTTTTAAAGATATTTTTGCACATGTAAGTACAGAAGGCTGTGTGTATATATATATTTTCTCTCTTTCTTTTTTAGCTTAAATAGCTGCATGTTATACCTACTGCTCTGTTTCTTGATTTTTTTTTTCACTTAGCAATGTATGCTGGAGATTATTCTGTGTCAATACATAAAAAGCTCTTCATTCTCAACAAATTGATTTCAAACTTCACTTGGAGGACCAGATGCACAAGAATATCCTAGATACTTTTGAAAATAATGGAAATTTTTGGTAGCAGGTATCAAAACATAGTATAAATCTGTAACGATGAAAACAAAGTGGTACTGGAAGAAAAAGGGACAGGCAGATCCCATGACGAAGAGTAGCACATCCTTAGAACCCTGAGGACATTCACTGTGGAATTTAGTGACTGCGAACTTCACAAGTGTACAGGTTGCATTTTTGAATTACTAAATATTTTTGATCATTTGACTGAAAAGTTAATACTTAGATCCCTATTTCACACTAAATAGAAAAAAAGTTGCAGGTACAGTAAAGAACTAAGTAAAGGAGAGGAGCATTAGAAGACTATGTAAGATAATATTTTTTTTTTATCATCTTGGGGTGAGGAAGGTCTTTCTAAGCGTGATGTGAAGTACAGAGGCGAGAGAGGAGACTGACCAGTGTGGGCATATGACAACATAAAATGCATCTGTCAAGAAGCATGATAGTTAAAAGACAAACACAGATGGGGAAAAAAACATTTGGAACATCCGTGACAACATCGTTATCTTCCGTATTAGTTTTCTGTTGCTGCGTAACAAATTGCCACAAATTTAGGGGTTTACAACGACTGCCATTTACATATTAGTGCCCAGCTCTGCAGGTCAGAAGTCCGGCATGGCGTGTCCTGCTTCTCTGCTCAGCAATTGCCACAAATTTAGGGGCTTACAACGACTGCCATTTATATATTAGTGCCCAGCTCTGCAGGTCAGAAGTCCGGCATGGCGTGTCCTGCTTCTCTGCTCAGGACATCACAAGGCTGAAGTCAGGTGTGGGGTGACTGAGTTCTCGTGGGGGAGGTGCTGGGGGAAATCTACTTTCAGACTCATTCATGTTGTTGCAGAATTCAGTCCCTTGCACCCACAGGGCTGAGGTCCCCATGTCCTTGCTGGATGCTGGCAGGGTCCACTTCAGCCGCTAGACCACCCACATTCCTTGCCATGTGTCCCCGCCACCTTCAAGCCAGCAATGGAGACTTTCTCCTTCATCAAACCCCTTTCACCCTCAGGTTCTCTCTGACTCCCCCTCTCACCACCAGCTGGAGGAAACTGTCTGCTTTAAAAGAGCTCATCACCCACTTAGGCCAGACCCACCGATGAGCTCCCTTTTGTCACACGATGCAGCAGTTACAGGAGGAACACCAGGACAAAGTCACGGGAGCCATGTTAAAGCTCTGCCTGCCACGTTTTTACTACAGAAAGCACTCCTAGGAGCCAGCCAGTAAGAGACTGACATCCCAGCAGGAGAATGTCCAAGGCCATGGGCAAGCAATTCAGAAAAGGAAAAAAACAGCTTCTGCTGCCTGTGACCTCACGTGAGCTAGCCTCAGGTGGCTTCACTTGCACTTTCGTTACAGGAGAAGAAGAGGGGAGGGGACCAGGAAAGATATCTACAGAAATCATGGAGGAAAAATTTCCACATTTGGTGAAAACTGTAAACCCACAGATCCAAGAAGCCCAGCAAACCCCCAGCAGAACACATATGAGGAACACTGCACCCAGGCTCATCACAATCAAATGGTCTAAAACCAGCAATAAGGAGAAAATCTTAAAAGCAGCCAGAGGGAAAAGGTGAAATTGTTTACGGAGAAGCAAATCACATCCCAGATCTTCCCGCCTCTCCATCACGTGGCGGCCGCTCTCTCTGCAAAACCTCCGTCCTGGTTTCCCTGCCTCCTCTCTTCTCCCAGCTCTGTGATTCTCACCATATAGGAGCTGGAGTGGGCTCCAGTGGCAGAGGATTGATGACCATCTTGTTCCTAAAAACATTTTTTTTCAAGTTAAAGCTATATCCTTCAAGAACACCTGACTCCAATGCAATATTCATGCAGCAACCTTCTGGTCTTCAGTTCAGTCTTCTGTTTGGATCTGTCCACTGAGAAAGGAATGCTCCATGCGAGTCAGAAAACAATTGTCGATCTGGGGACAGCTCCCTGACTAGATCAGCATCCTGGCTTTATAAATCAGTCTCATGTGGGCCGGCCCTGTGGCGTACTCAGGAGAGTGCAGCGCTGGGAGTGCAGCGTCGCTCTGCCGTGGGTTCGGATCCTATAGGAATGGCCCGTGCGCTCGCTGGCTGAGCATGGTGCGGGCGACACCACACCAAGGGTTGCGATCCCCTTATCCTTATACTATGGGGAGGATCTCTCCTGTGTGGTGGGAAGTGGAAAGGCTTGTCGCAATTTCTGGACACAGATTACCTACTTTTTGTCTGTCCGATTAGATTGTGAATTCTGTGATGGCAAAGTCTGGGTCTTCATGGTTTAAAAGCAGTTTCCCAATCTCGCCCTAAAAGGGCAGAGGGCTGCCCAGAGCTGCCGTGTCCTTCTCCTGGGTCCCGGCGTGGATGATGCTAGAACAGCCTCTCCCCTCCCCCCAGTGGCAGCTCTGCAGACGGAGATGGAGAACTTGGCGCTGCATCTCTTCTACATGCAGAACGTCGACCAGGATGTGCGTGACGACATCCGTGTGATGAGGCAGGTGGTGAAGAAGGCTGAGGTGGAGAGGAGGCGGGCAGAGCTCGAGAAGAAAAAACAGGTATCGTGCAAATTCCACCCACACTTAATCACCACCGAGCCTCCGGTCTTCAGAGAAGTGCCCAGCTTCGCCGCTTGCAGGAATACTGACACCTGGAGGGGCTGTGGTGGCCTTGGTCATATTGACATGGGTCAGGGGCTAGTGGAGACTTGTCCTCCAGGTGGGGACCTGTCCTTACTGCCGTCTTCTCATCCCGTCTCCCAGGACCTCTTCGTGGACCAGCTCACCACCCGAGCCCACCAGCTGGAAGAAGACATTGCTCTGTTTGAGGCCCAGCACCTCGCCCAAGCTGAGGACACCCGGGTTTTAAGGAAAGCGGCAAGCGAGGTAAGAGCTCCCCGTGTGGCTCTCAGTGGCAGAAGCGCCCCTTTAGTGCCCACACATAGCACTGATGGACCGGCCTAGGCAGTGCCTGTGGAGTAAACTACTGCAGGTGTGTCCCCGGCTAGTCAGCCAGCTCCTTGAGGCTGAAAGTGGGTCTCCCACACCCGTACATCTCTCTAAGCACCTAAGCACATCCAGCCATCCCCACAGTGGGGGCGCAGTAGATCCCAACTGATCGATGGCCGGTGTTTTTATTCCTGCGATGGCCACTGGGTGACTGTAAGGTCTATAGGGATCCAGATATTCTATTCTCTTTCTGCACTTCCGATGCCAGCTTGCTGGGGGACCCCTAGCAAGTTCCTTTGTCAACAGTGGGTCTCTTCTGGGAAGGACCGAAATCTCTCTAGTGATTCTCAGCCTATGAGCAGCAGGTGTTCCCGGGCAGAGCGCGCAGCTCTGCACCATGTGGAGCAAGGGACTGCAGAGACTAAACGCACTGAAGCTGCTCCCTGCAGCCCCAGAAACCGAAGTCCCTGTGATTTTTTTTAGAAAAGCTGTGTCACCATCTGCACCCCTATGTGCAGGAAAGACACGAAGGAAACGATAAAGTTTTACTGAAAGAAAGAAGAGAGGACTTGAACGCATGGACAGACACACCCGGTTCCCTTGTGGAAGGAGGAAACAGGACCTAACGCTGTGAAACTGCCCACGCTCCCCAGCCTGTAAATATAAGTGATCCAGAACGCGCCCCAGTCAGAGTCGGGGGGCAGGGGGAGAATCTTTTAATTTATCAAAGTGACTCTTGAGTTTATCTGAAAAATAAGTTAGGAGGGCCAGCCCAGAATGTTTTGGAAGAGAAGATGCCTGTAAGGGTGAAGAGCCGTCCCAGTCTGCCCAGGACCGAAGCGTTTCCTGAGACTCAAAACTTTCTGTGCTAAACCCGGGAGACTCCTGGGCAAGCCAGGATGGTGGGTCACCCTAGCCTTGCCCCAGCAAATATTAAAATATACTGTAGAGCTCTAGAGGCTAAAGACTGTGTCCCTGGAATCAAGGGTAGACAGACAAGCCATTGAAATCTATGGAAGAGCCCAGAAACAAGCCAAAGTGTGCACAGAAACTTAGTAAATAAAAAATTAGCAGAGAGCCCATGAATTATACATCCAGTGGTATTAGGAGATTTGGTGAATCATTTGGAAAAAATGATTCCTCATACCAGACACAAATAAATTCCAGATGGAATCAAGTATTTACATGGGGAAGAATGTGCCAGAAGAAAACAAATGAAAAATATTCCTGTGATCCTGGACTGGAGAGGCCTTTTTCTAAGCATAACAGCAAAAGCTGAAACCTTAAAGGAGAAGATGAGCTGGGTGGCCCACACCTTAATCTACAAAAGTGTAGATTACGACACCACTAACAAAATAAAGAGACTCACCAGGAGCCAAACTTGTTAGCATTGTTAGTATTTTTGTCTTTTTGCTTATCTGCATATTCTGATTGCATAGAATGAGCACTTATTTCACAACCCTGAGTAAATTTGGGGGTGTGAAGAGATTCTGGAAATCAATAAGAAATACCCTGTGCTCTTCTGTGCTCTAGAATGGTGGCACGTGACAGGTGCCGTGAAGGTCTCTTTTGTTCCATCTGCCCTGCCCTCACCCCCTCTCCTAGGTGTGACTCCACCGGGCAGGACCTGCCCACGCTCTGGGCGTTTTTCACTCCCAGCACCTGGGCCCACCCGAGACGCTCCTCACATGAACCCATGAAAAGCCAATGAACAGCCATAGGAAAGGGCGAGGCAGGGGGCTCCCGTCCCACGCTGGCAAAGCTGAAGGAAGGCGGAGGCAGACGGCCTCCCACGCGGGTAGCGAAGACACAGACAGGTCTCCATCAGGATGCTTTCCAAGGGCGACACTGCCAAGTGCAGCGCCGCTTTCTCCCCACGCCCGAAGTGTCGCCACCTGGACTTCAAGGAAACGCACCTGCAGATAACACTTTTGCACGTTAAAAAGGCCGTGAACAAAACCAATAGAGACTCCCCGGGAAAATGATGCTTAAGACCGTGTTGTGTGTAATAGAGAGGAAAGATCCCGAGGAGAGGGCGTTAGTGAAACCAACTATGATATACCGCATGGAGGAACACCATCCTGCCCTGAAAATAAATATTTACTGACATCAAAGCCTGTCGACAATATGTTAGTTTTTAAGAGAAGATTACAAAACAGGATATAGAATGTGATTCCCTACACACACACACACACACACACACACACACACACACACACGCACGCACACGTGCACACGTGATGATAATGGGCATAAGAAGTTAGAAATGGTTATCTATAAGTGGTAGCATTATTAGTATTTTTGTCTTTTTGCTTATCTGCATATTCTGATTGCATAGAATGAGCACTTATTTCCATTTTTAAAAAGGAGGGGGACTGCATTCAGCAGGGCATTAGATTCAGCGGTGACCTCCATATGTCAGCTGCACCGTAGTCAGCCCCAGTGGGAAGGCGCCCCCCTTGGCTGACAGGCACCCCCAGGCCCAGCGTGGGGAGGGTCCAGCTGGGTTTGGGTCCCCGCTTGCCTCCTGGGCTGGCACAGCCCCAGGAATCAGGCACTACTACTGTACCCATGTCACAGCTGGGGACCCTGAGGCACAGCGAGGTGAGGGGCCCCACCCAGAGCATAAATGAACCCTCCCTGACCTTGGAGTAAATTCCAGAACCATCCCCCACATGGAGCAGCATCCTCCTCCTCCTCGTCCTCCCCTGTCCCTAGCACTGAGCACCCACGGGCCCTGAGCAAAGGCTCGCACGGCTGCTGGAGGTTTCTTCAGGGCTGCGTTTCACGCCGTGCATATCCCTCTGCTGATGCGCGATAAAGGAAAGTAAGGCGACACAGGGGAAGAGGGCAGCCAGGAGAGCCAGCTCTGACGGTCCTTCTGGGCACAGACGAGACCAGCGGAGCATTCACGTCCCCTCCGCTCTCGGCTGCAGGCTTTCACGGAAATAGACGCCATAAACGTGGAGAAGAAGCGCGTCCTGCAGCAGTGGGCCACCAGCCTGGTGGGCATGAAGCACCGCGACGAGGCCCACAGGGCCATCCTGGAGGCGCTCAGGTAGGGCGGCCCGGGAGCTCAGCGGGCGGTGGGTTGTGCAGGGACGGGTGGTCAGGAAGGACCTCCCCTTTCCCGCCTCTCCCCCAGTCTCAGGACAGAGGGGCACACCTGCAGCCTGCAGCCCGGGCTTCCATCCCAAAAGCTGCTTTATCGTTCTCCAGGATTTCTGCATTTCTTAAATCCTTTCTGACCCTCCATGGCCCTGGGTGCAGCAATGCTTTCGTGCTCAGATTTCCTGCAGGATTAAGGAGGAGCAGTGAGGGGGTGGGGACAGAAAGGGGCATTTGTCTTTGGGAGACAGAGGTGTCCTTTGATCTGCAGTTCCACCCCC